ACAAATTCTCACATTCAGTACAAAAAGAAGACCACACTCAAAGAAGTGAAAACCGTCCAAATGCTTCTCAAAAGAAGACTGGATTGACAAAGAAAGGAGTGCTGCATGTTCCTCAGAACGCATGCGACTACCAAGCTATCCGCAAAGTCGGTTGCAAACAGAATTGCAAGCCAAATTGGTCTGCAAGTATGACAAAACTATCAAAGCTTTGAAGCAAGCGGAAAGTAATTTCAGAAAGCTGTACTTGTTATCCATCCTTCATTCCCTTGCTGATACTGTACATCGCCAGACTCCAACCAGCTTCCAAACTCCGACCTTTTTGGGAATCCTCGAAACTGATCACCTCAGGACACTAGAAACTCGTACAAGTCGATCCGGGAAGCGGAACCGAAGTCGATCGAAAAAAAACAGCTGTACAAGATGACACAGCAAACTGTCAGCTGTTGGAAAAGGGATGGATCCGGAGCCATAGTTTGGCCCAGCCTCTTCGAGTTTGTGGGAGACTGAGGCAACCAGGATAAGCCTCCAGCGGGCTTCGGGAAGTTCTACGAGAAGGCATAAACGGGCGAGTTTAGCACATAGACTATAGGTTCAGATGGTTCCTTGCAGCAGAAACAAATCAACCGTTGTGTGAAGAAGCAAGCTGAATCTACAGACGGCGTGACATTGAAGCAGAGTTTCCATCGAGTAGGTTCATCGGAAAGATCAAGTGATAGAAAGGGGAGATGCAGCAAGTTTTACCCGAGCCCTTCAAGGGAGTGGTGCTTGTTCCGGTTTCCATTGGGTCAGACATTGACTTGGGTGCAGCATGGCTGCAAACTTGCACATGTAGCCACTGCAATCACTGGGGGTTTGCGACCAGGCCCAGGCCAAGCCTGGCGCCAAGCCTGATGTGAAGCCAAAGACGGCTGAAACTAGTGCCTTTTGGCATGCACGTTCAGCACAGGTAGGATGGCTGTGTTGGAGCTATGCGCAGAGAATGGGCATGCATTTGTCATGTTTTGCTGGATTCTGTTTGGTCGGTTTGGTTCAACAGTTTTTGCTTTGGTCCCCAGACACAACTTGTGAGTGATGTGTGTGTGTGTTTCACTTTTTCCTGGTGTTGGAATGTCCATTCTTTGAGCCAAACCTAATTGAGCTGGACTTTCTATTGCACGCATATTGCAAGCCCTTTCGCTCCGTGCGCGGGGTGGTTGAGGCGAAAGAAGGGAAAGCAGAAGCTCCATCTGAAGCTAGCAAGTTTCTCGACCGAACTTTTGGCGAACAACTTGTCGATGCCTCTGATGCATGTATTTTTCTTTTGAATCGACTACTGATGACACAATATGATACATAGGGTGAAGCATGGGGTCTTTGCCTTTGCTGCACCTAACCAAGTCAGCTGTCGAGGCCTGAGGTGAAAGAGGCGAAAGAGCCTAAGGAGGTTCCAGCGACCTGGCAGCACCAGGGTCTTTCAGGGTTTGGAACATCAGGGACCAACAACACAGATGTCTGCGGAGACCTTCGGGTGAAAACGGGTGTTTGAACCAACGGGTGTTCTCATGCTACAGCGAAACGCAGAAGCAAGACTTGTGGAATGTGTCACGAAGACTGGCGAGTGGATCTGATCTGGTGTCCCGGGCAGCTGGATTGACGCGTGAGCCACCACCAAAGCCAGCGATGACCAGATTGGGATCACTTATATAGAAAAATGTGCTCATGAGGGTATGATATAGATAGTGTATGATACTGTATTACTATAGACCGTTGATTTAAAAGTTAATCCCACCCATTTGGATTCTAAAACCCTTTTCATGTGGGGTGTTTTATTCGTCAATCCTTTGCATCCTACATCATCCTACATAGTCAGTGGAAAACTTTACAGTAACTTTTTGGGGGAATTGGTTTCCCCACCGAACAAGAACAGGGAAAAACGTTGGCATTCATTTTCCAGAGAAACTGAGGGAATCAACATATAGTCATAGGCAATCATAGGCACTGCTTGGCGGTAGTGCCTAGGAAGCTGCAGAGCAGAACAGCAAAGACTCGCAACTCGGTGTGGAAATGATCCTCCGCTTGGCTCGAAGGCTCGTAGCCTTCGCGGTTTCAACCGCGAATGGCAGATGAATGCTTTCATCCTGTGTGTCAATGTGATTTCTTTCATTTCGCATTTTTTTCTAACAAAGGCTTCAAAGGTTGGAAGGGTTGCAGGACTATAAGATGTGCTGTTGCAACAGGTTGACTCACTCATTTCAGCCGAGACCTGTAAAGAGCAGGTCTCGTCTCCGGAACGTCAGGGCCCACTCTCAAGGTGCTTGCGTCGTCCTGTCCGTCGATGCACTCCGATCTCCATATTTGATGTCACAACCCTCCGACTCTGCCCAGGAAGGGTCCAAAGGAAACTCCAGCAACTTGGGTCGAAATGGACCGACTCGACTCGACTCGCACCGTCAGCGGCCGGTCGTGACGCGGCCGTGTCAAGAGTTGTCACCAAAGCCCAGCGGAGCAAGAGCTCATAGACACTCAAGCGCCAAACAACCAGGAGGAAGAGCGGTGACTTGGCCTATGCGGCATATGCTTTTCACAAAGTGTTGCTGCGGCCAAGAGGCGTCAATCATGACCTCGACCTCGGTGACATGGATGACATGGAAGACCTCGGGGGCCACTGTGTGACTGGTCGAGGGGCACGGTCCTCCCGCCATTGTCATCTCCACGTTCCGTCCAATTGCTGGAACGGGGCCATGGATTCTTGTTGTTTGAGTGCGTGTGGTGTACTTAGAATCCTGACACAACTAGACCTGAAGTGACAGAGGATAGCAGGGCTTCATTGAAAACTCACGTTGATGCGGATTTCAGGGTTCGCCTGGCGCTAAGGCAGAAGAGGCAAAGGCTGAAGGCTGGATACGGTGCTGGAGACGTTAGATCTTTTTCTTCTCCAGGGCACAGAATCACAGATCTCAGATCACCAGAACGGAGGAGTCGTCCCCCCAGCGTTTTTACTCAGCTTGCTTTCTCAATCTTTGGAGTTGGGCTACATCAAAGCGCTTCCCCCTGGCAGGGGCACCGAAAGCCCATTTGTTTAGCCCCAGTTTAGCGCAATGCTGGAATCAACAAGTGCTTACACAAACAAGCTTAGGCTGTATTTGTTTGAGTGGAGGCATATGACGGCATATGTATATATATATATATACTTGTACATATATTGATATGCAATCATCTACACGACATTGATGCTATGCTATGTATTCAGGATCTTGATCATGTTTGGCCTGTTATTCTCAAGGCTCAAAAGTGCCAGGCAAAGAGGGCAAAGGTGCCGAGGAGACGAAGAGTCCGAAAGGCGGCAAAGATGCCAAAGATGCACTTGACCAGAGGACAGACAGCGCCAGGTGGTGGTTCAGACCTACAGCATTAGTAAACCAACAATGCAAATATGGATATGATTCTATACTGCCTGACCACGCGCATTAAAAGGACAGAGTGCAGTAACGTTTTGGTCTTTGATAAGGATAGGCTTAAAATGGCTTACACCACGTAAGTAATGTCAACCACGCATTTTCACAGTACCAGCCCAGCCTTGGCTTAACTTCGTTCAGAGGCCTGGCGAGATCTTATGGTTTTCTGGCACAGACTGAGATCATCTGAGATCTAATGGATGGGATGCTCAGATTTCCCGTTGTTGCTCTAAACGTCAGAGGAGACAGTGGCTTCATACGCGGGGTGTTGTTATGTTTTTCCTCAAACATCTGTAGGGAGCCCCGAACGTAGCGTCCGATCGCTCCGTCCTACGAGACAGGACCCGACTCGCCGTCTTGGCTTTGGGCGGCTCCTCGGTTGAGACCGGAGATGTTGAGGTTGCAGTTGGCCGGGTTCAGGTTCGATGACGGTCGACCGATGTCTATACTAGGGAAGAGCTTGGATGGAGTTGATGTGTATGATAGAGTGCGTTGTTTTGTGATGTTTTTGTGTTTTTGAGCTGAGCCAGGGTATGGATAATTAAAAGGAATACCAGAGAGAGAGAGAGAGAGGCCATAGACTCATAGACCCCAGCTTGAGCATGTATTGGGTGTCAAGTGAAGTTGCACAGCCTTTTGTAAGGCTTACCCCAGGCAGTGTGGACTGCACAACTTCGGAACAAATGGCTTCTGTCCCAAATCAAGGACCCAATACTTGAACAGCAGACAACAGTCTCAAGTACTGACTAAGCTATCGAATCGTTATCGCATATACTCCCAGTTCCTTCACAATTGATGGTGAACCTGGTAAATCTGATTATCCCATTCTCGTCTTCCCACCACCCTGGCGTGGCGCCCGCTTTGAGGAGCTGTGGCGATGTCGGCCTTCTTTAGCAGCAGATCCGACCCAGATGCACCGCAGGAGGTGGATGGACCGGGACCCGCCGGAGCCTGGGATGCCGGGATGAACACGTCCGTGGCGAAGGAGTTCGACATCGGACGAGCTCAGAAAAGGATAGAGAAGGTGTGCAGTGCATCCATGTTCATCCCTTCTCCAGCAGCCAGGTCACCATGCAAGAGATGCTGAAAGAGTACTTGGTCAAGGGTAACGTCGACAAGATCCAGAGTCTGGGCGGGCAATCGAGTTGGGTGGGATCTAGATAGCTATATAGATCAACCTTGGTAGTTCAAGCTTCATACTATATACGCTCCTAAGCCTAATGTATATTGCCAGGACCCTCCAAGTGGTGTCTATTTATAGCCCCTTGGCTGTTAAGGGGTGTCCATTCACCACCCCTTGGGGGTTGTGGTAGATGTCATTGTTGTTTGCTTTTTTTTTGCGCAAAGGACTGAATTGCCAGGAACACGGTTTCACTTTGTTAATTGCAAATGTCAACCGAAGGGAGGGAGAGGGCAGCATGCATTTTGCCCAACAAAACATGCAGCTGTGCAAGCATCATTCACGTGGTTTGCTTTCAGACACGCTCAGTCCTTGTTTGGCCAAGGATTGTGAACCAGTTCCAAGCGCGGGTGTTCCTCCGGAAGGAGAGCAACGCAACGCAGCAGATGGTGACCATTAACCTGGGACGGGCGGAAGCCTTCGAACAGAAGCTGGAGTGGCTTGGCAGGAAACTCTTTGGTTATATATAGTATAGTGGCCCCAAATAGATATAGAAACAAGTTAAAATACATTGCTATATTTACTTTTCTATACGTAGTGTATTATAGGAGCACAGATTGAAGGGTGATGAAGACATGCTTGTGGGCTTAAATCTGCATATCACCCATCATCACCTCTTTGGTTTCAGATCTCTAGGCCCTTGGGGGACGAGCGACCCTTGTAGCAGGGCCTTAAAATCGAACGTCCATGCTCCAACATCACCAGCCGAGGAATGTGCAGAATGAGCTCGGGATCCCGCCGATGGAACACATCCCCGTGCAGTATGTCAATGAGTGACTAAGACAAAGAAGAGATGTTTCATGATGTTTCAAAAAGGGGCTGGTGCCAGTCAAAGCAACAGAAGGTCCAGACTTTTTAATCACTCTATTTGCAAATTGCAATCATCATAATGCAATTGGTTCGGAAGGTATTGCAGGCAAGAAGGAGTTGACAAACCATGAGAAACCGGTGCACTTTACGACCAACCTGTGTTTTGCCTCGAGTTCTTCTTCAGGGCACCCAGAAAAATGTGACGAAAACGAGCTCTTCAGGACTGACTGGTTGTCCGAGCTCCTTCCGTACATCCCTTCGCTTCTTTTCTTGATTCCGCTTCTCATGGTCAGCAGGAGACCGGTGGGCGTCTCCGGGCGGCGCGGCGGCGCGGTCTGGAGTTCGTTCTGAGCAGGGGATCATACTGAAGAGATCGGCTCAGAGCCAATTCATGGGCAATTCCCATCATCAGCATCAGTTTTTTTTCTCCATGTTGTACGGATTGTTTTAAGGATTCTGTATGCAGCGCTTACACCATTGTCCACTGTATACAATGAGTATTCTTTAAACTCAACAACTACACAATGTTGACAGAGGCAGCCTCATGCTAGAAACACAGGTCAAGGAAATATACCCTTTTTTGATGGATGGTAGTAGCATATATATGTTTTTTTTTTTTAAATGTTTTATGTTATTTTTTTTCCTCTCTGGTGGATCTTCCACTCCGGGCAGTGCACATCAACACCGAGAGGAGCATCGGGGGAGGCCTTCCAGGTGCCGGCGGACCTGGAGGGCGGAATGTCTTCAGCATCGGCAAGGTGTGGTGCTTCCTTCTGGGCCACGAGAGTTTTTTTTGGGACACGAGATGCTCGGATTTCTTTGGACATGACAGAGGATTCTTTTTCCAGAGCGAGTTGGTGTGGTGCTGAGAAGGTCCTGGATATCAGTCGTTGGCGCTTTGTGGCTCTTTCCTTTTTATTGGTCTTGTGCACTTGACGACACTGATGGGCTTTTAGGGCCCATGGTCCATGGTCGGAAACCCTGATTCTGCGATCACTGATATATGCAGCATGACAGCATGAGTATTGTATGACAGGCACTTTCAGGTTAACCGGCATATACTGCGCAGGTTCTTCATGACGACCAGAGTGTCAGAGTGTCGGGCCATTCTCCGTCAATAGGAGCAGAAATCGACCCCCAAAACACAGACGGGGCTGACGAGTCGGTTTGGGAGATGCTTCGCCCGTGACCACCCGAGGTATCCCAGGGAGGTACTGGATGACCAGCGCTGGCCAGGTTACCGATGAAACCAGTTGGATTCGATGGATCTTGATGAAGTATAGGGGGCGGTTGCAGGCCTTGATGTTAGCATACAATAGGAAGACTGCTTCACTACAAAAAACGTTGTGCCTTTTTCTGCATATTTGTGGGGTGTGCGCACTAGACTCACACATACCAGTTGAGTGCTGCTTCTAGCAGGCTTTCCCCTCTGGCAAAAAGGACCGCCGGAGATGGACTTTGGTGTCTCGACAGGGCAGAATGCCCACCGAAAAAATTCACCCGTTTTGTCCACACTATCAGGTTCTGTAAGGCAGCGGCCAGGCCGTCAGGCCTGACTCAGGCAAGTTCTCAAGTTGGAAGTGGCAGCTTTTTATCGAATCCAACTGAACAGTTCTCGACCAATTCAAGAAGCAATGTTTGATCTTCATGGACAAAAAAAGCGCCCCCCGCCTCCCATTATATAGACTAATTTGGTTTCGACGCTACAGTTTGAGGCCTCAAGTAGGTCAAGTTCCAGGGTTTGACTGCCATGCCCTACTGAAATCCACGAGTGAAGGACCTGAAGTCCACGGTGAAGTTCGCAGACGTTGCCGGGCTGGAGCAGCCCAAGGCAAGTCGTGAAATGCGTCGACCAAGAAAAGTCACGAAAGCTAGCCTTAGCTAGCTGGAGTTGCTCTTGCTTTAGCAAGTTAAGTGACGGGGTGGACGCACCTCAGAAACCTCAAATAATTGATTAAATCAATCTTATGGACCCCCCCCCCCCGCGGTTCGACTCCCCCCTGCGCGCGGTGAGCGGGACCACCAAGCAGCTGCAGCACACCAAGCATCTGCAGCGCCCAGCGCAGCAGCGGCAGCAGCAGCAGCAGCATACCCAACGCCGCGGCAGCAGCAGACCACCCAGCGCCAGCAGCAGCAGACGACCCGGCGCCTGCAGAGCACCCAGCGCAGCAGCGCCCAGCGCAGCAGCGGCAGCAGCAGCACCAGCAGCAGCAGCACCAGCAGCAGACCACCGGAAGCCCGGCTAGCTTTCGTTCACCCCCTCTGGCCTCAAGTCTAAGCCCGGTTCAGGATTGTAACTAGGACCCTCCAACTGGTATGCCATAGGCCGGCTCATTTTTCGACACAGTTCGATTCTTGCAGGCTGAAGTGATGGAGTTTGTGGATTTCCTGAAGACACCCGAGAAGTATGCCAAGTTGGGAGCGCGTGTTCCCAAAGGCCGGCCAGCCCCGCTCAAACCACGCTTTTACCCTACTGCGGCCGGCAGCTGTAGTATGCTTTGCGCGACCAGTAGAGTCGAGAAGGAGACTGTTTTCAAAGTAAAAGGTGACATACATGGCCACGCGTCGAATAGACGAATAGACTGCGCGGATCTGAGCGGAAAGCCAGTGGTTTTCTGCAAGTTCGACAGACCAGACACACCATCTCTCGATGGCGAGGTGGTCTCTTCGTTGGACCACCTGGTACCGGCAAGACCTTGCTGGCCAAGGTGGGGTAAGGTTGAGGTCAGCCACGACATGGATTTTTGAAATGAGCACTGTAATGGCTAGTTGCATTTTTGAACTGCAGAAGTCCAAATTAGAACTACACTCCGGCTCACCGATGGACAATTTAAATGATCCTTTGGGAAAGTTCAATGACCCTATGGAAGACCACAAGCTATCCGTACTTGCTCCTCACCAAGCTCTCGGATTCTTCTTTTGGGGGGGAAGCACCCGACTCTGCTCAGATCTTAAAGCTTCCAAAGGCATCAGGAATCAGGTCCACAGACTAATAGAAGAGTTGTTGGGCCAAAGGCAGTCTTGCGGGCCAGAGTGCTTGCCGGGCCTGAGCTGAAACAGATTTCTGGCAGCCAAAATCAAGAACATTAAACTGAGATGGACCAAGGATGAAACAAAGGGCGTTTGAAGAAGTTTGAGCCTGCGATCCCTGTGGCCTTACCTGTTTTTCTGTATAGCTCTATAACTATATACTATATATACCAGGACCCTCCAAGGGGTGTCTATATATAGCCCCTTAGCTGTTCAGGGGTGTCCATTAACCAATTCTTGGGGGTCCTCGTATATACATACAGTATGTATATATCTCTCTCTTCTTCTGCTAAGACCTCTTTTGCTCCGCCCAGGCGGTGGCCGGCGAAGCGGACTGCCCCTTCTATTCCATGTGCCTCAGCGCCCATGGCGGTGGGGGTGGGGGTCGGGTCTCCGGGTCGAGACCCACGTGGTGTGCCATGGGTCTCTTCTCGGCATCGTCCCACGTCTTCGTTTGGGGGAGAGGACGAGAATTGACCAAACGAGAGGCTCTCGGAAGAGTCTGTCCTTCTCTTTTTCTATCAAGGCTGCCTCTTTTTTCGGTCACAGGAAAGTGAGGCCGGACACATGCACAGGACACCTTTTTGTCTAGAGTGACTAGACTCTATAGACTCGTTTGGTCTCTTCCGTCATCTGTTGTTCCACTGGTCTCATCCTGTTTGCAACAACCAGAGCTTCGCTTCGCTTCCCCCAGGAGTGGTTCGGACTTCGTGGAGATGTACGTGGGTGTGGGCGCCTCACGGGTGCGTGACCTGTTCAAACAGGCCAGAGACTCCGTGCTTCGACAGCAGAGACCGGCAGAGACCAGGGGTGGGGTGGTGTTCCGGTGGTGTTCTGAAGGGGAGTGAGTGGTCTGAGGGTTGAGAGGACTATGCGATGCTGCTATGCTATGCATTTATTTCCGACATGGGATCACCATCCGGACCAAGTACGGGATGGTAGACATTTGCGCAGCAGTTGAGATGCTTGAGGCTCTAACTCTAGCTGCTAGAGTGCTATATAAGGGCAATAGTAGGCATTCATATCATCGACATGCACACGGATACAAACATCACAACATGATTCCTTTTTAAGAGTAAGGAAGTAAGGATGCCCTACTGAGCACCAATACTGTTATGCTAATTGCATTGTTTGTATTGTCGCCGATTTGCTCGCAGTTTTTTGTCGCCTCCACGTGTTCAGCAGCTCAAGCTCATGAATGGTTTTGGGACTTCTTTGTTAACAAATGTCGCGTGGACATCCGTGGACAGCATAAGCAGACGGCACCACTCATAGTCATAAGATACAAGTTACAAGTATACTAGGTATATACACATGTGAAGGCAGATGCTGGAAGCCAGGAGAAAACTAGCATGATAAATATTCATTCCAAAACATCCGTGGTTCAAGAACTAGACTGGTCACACAGGGAAGACACACAAGGACAGAGTGCCGACAGACAGCTCACACCAAAAAGGCTGGTCAAACACAGGAACTGAGCAGCAAGTGGACCGCATATCAATCACCATTGGTCATAAGATATCACAAGTATTGAATTGCTTGTCCACGGTAGTGTACAGGAGTTCTTTCAGTGCGCAATTCAAGTGTTCGTTATGTTGTGATGGCCAATTTAAACTGGTGGCAAGGCAAAAATCAAACAAGGAATTCCCACCCACTACAGTCCTACTTCACCCATAGGACTGCGCAGTGACCATGAGTGAGTTGGCACCCATGACTCATGACTCTTGACCAGTCGCCTCACCTATCAAACCCTCACAGTCGCCTCGATGGTACATATGCGGCCTGAGGCGCCATCCATCATTTTCATAGATGAGATCGATGCCATCGGACGGAAGCGGGGCAAAGGTGGCTTCACAGGTGGCAACGACGAGCGGGAGAGCACTTTGACGCTTGGATGAGGTGCAAGTTGCTGGGCGTTTGGCCTCACCGAGGGCGGCTGGCCAGTGACTTGAGAAGCCAGCTTCTTCTTGAGCTGGGGAGGATGGTCAAGAGAGATCAAGAGGCCTTCTGTTCTTTGAAGAAAGCAGATGACCCCAAAGAGGAAACTGGGTGTCTCTCAGGACCTCTCAGGTGCTTTAGCTGTCAATGACTTGAGTAAAGTTCGACGAACGTGCTCAGCGCCCAATGATCTGAATCAGCGGGATTCAACATATATAGGGCTAGGTTCAATCCTGTCAGGAATCAGATGCTGGTCGAGATGGATGGTTTTTCCTCCTCCACTGGAGTGGTGGTGCTGGCGGGCACGAATCGCGTGGATATTTTGGACAATGCTTTGCTTCGGCCCGGGCGACTCTTGGATTGGGCAGGATCGGGAGGAAAACACATTAAAAAACGACTCGCCATGTCGGCAGTCACGCCGAACTCGGCACAAAGTAGAGCAGTTTTTTTTCGTTCCAAGATTTCATTCGAGTTCTTCGTAGACCTACTCTGTGAGACACTTTCTTCGTATGAATTGGTACTAGTCTCAGAATGTCTCAGACCGGGTGTGGGACTAGCAACGGGGTCTCAGACCAGTTGTTCACGTGATTTTCGATCCACTGCACAGAGCCACAGAGGTTTGCGGCACTCACTGCGCATCCTAGAGCCACAGACCGCCTGTTGATTCGTTTTCTCATGTTGTTTCAGGATTCCCTTTCTTTGGGCTGGTGTAAGGCTGACTGAGTCGGGCATCTTGAGAAAAACATGCCACAGAGAAAACCACAAGAAGAAAACATGCCGCACCTGCGAGTTGTGCCATGTTGTGCATGTGTCCTTTGTTCTGTTTGTAGCGTCCTCTTGTTACTATAGTAGTAAGGCCAGGAGCGCCCTGAGTAGAGTCCTTGCTAACTTCTTTCATAATGCCATGGGCCCCTGGCCGCTGCTACCCCTGACCGCTGAGGCTTCGATCGGCAGATCGCCATTGACAGGAGCGGTCCTCGCAAGGGGAGACGTTGCGACCCGAAGAGGTCGTAGTCAAGCAGCGCTTCATCCATGGTCATCCACTGATGGTTCATCCGTCACTTTCCAAAACAAGCTTGGACTGAATCAGCTTGGATGGAGCCGGCCTTGCCAGAGGAATCATGGATACCCAAAGGATCCCAAGGATTCAAGGATATAAAACGGTCCACCAACGTTCAGGTGAACCGGACCGGACCCCCTATACTGCGCGTCTCGTGGACCATGCTGCTTGCAGCGCCAGGCCTGACATGGCTGAGAGAGAGAAGATCTACATGGTGCACTTGAAGCCACTCGCGCTGGAGAAACCTGGCACCGGTTTTGGGGTACGGGTACGAAAGCCGTTGGTCCGTTGGTTTGATGCGCCCCTGTCGTTTTTTTCTTGGCCCCGCAGTTTGTAAGCCATGTGGGACTGGCTCTGAAAGTCCATAATTATGATCATGATCACTGTGTTGAATTGGAATGGATGGAACTGAAATAGAACTGTTCACTGTTCATCATGCTGCAAGAATATCCAATCCCAAATGTTTATAAGTATATTTAATTGGGCGCTGAGATGCAAACATAGAGAAAAGCATGAGATGCGTGGACAATCCAGAGTAGACTTTCAGACTATCCTGTTATATAATTCATGGTTGAGGTGTTGAGCTGTTGGGAATGGCACTTGGGGAACAATTGCTAATTATAGACTGTAGTTTAACTTCATACTAGTCTTCATACTACATATCGTTTCGTTGATGACTTCAGACTTAATGTGCCATTTGCAGGGTGAGGGTAGATGATAGATGGCACACCTTCCAGCGGTTGGCACATGCACACTTGGGGCGAAGCTCAGTGTTGTCAGGAAAGACCTCAAGATGGAAGACGTGGCCAAGCGCATGGCAGCCTTGACCCCGGGCTTCGCTGGGGCAGACATTGCCAATGTTTGCAATGAGGCGCCCTTGTGACCGGTGCCGAAAATGCCAGACCTAAGACACACTCATGTTTCAGTAGATTGCTCTCGGTCCCCGGCAGCGTCATCCTTTGATTCCATCCTGTGCCAGGCTGCCATTTTCGCTGCCCGCCGGGCGGCCACTGCAGTGTCCATGGAAGACTTCGAGCGTGCCTGCGAGCGGGTCATCGGTGGGTTGCCCAAAAACAATAGCCTCATGCCTCTCGGAGCTTTCACCGGCGACCGTGGGGTCTTCTCGCTCGGACGGAGTCGGACGGAGCTTTCACCGAGCGGAACGCTCCCCTTTGGTGTTCAGCACCGTTCCAAGAGCGCAAGAGCTGCATCTGGGGTCCAAGAGCCTCTTCGCGGTCCAAGACCTGTTTAGTCCGGACCAAGCCGACGGATCGAGAAAAAGCGGATACCGCGGATCTTGTTCGTCCAATCGAGGCTTTCCAAACACCTCATGCCCTGATTGACCAGCTGGTCTGACCGAGTGACCAAGCCCATGGCAGATCGGGAGCTGCATCGATCTTCCGCTCAGCATGCACACAATTGTACACATACCGGCTAGATTCCACAATTTACAAATTTACATTAGAAAATGGGACATGACCCCCCCCCAAAAAAAAAAAACAAAGCAGGTACTTGTACCCATTTTCCGAGGTACGAACTGAGACTCCAGGTGTGCATGTTCTGTTTTACCAAATGCATGTCCCATGATCACCATGAATATGTTTACAGGAATCCGGCGCAAGCACCCACATGGACCTCAAGAAAGACACCAAGGGCTGTGCCCTGCGAGAGCAAAAACGCATTGTTTCTATAGTGGGTTTACAGGAGTTTCCACGTTTGGTTCCTGGATTTGCCAGGTGGTTGTGTTGTTCAAGTGTGTTTTCTGATGGAATGTGCTGTACTCTTTGCATACATACCTAACCAACATTGATTCACCAGCCTCTGCACTATGCACACACATATTGTCGTGACGGCCATTTCTGGGCGTTCGGGGTGGCCCAAGGAGTGCGGATGACAAGCACACCGTGGCGATCCATGAATCAGGTCATGCCGTTGCAGGCCTCGTCTTGGGCCGGTCTACCCACGGCCTTTGACCGGTTTGCAGAGAGACCAGTTGCAACACAAACAAAACGAGAGTTTGTTGCTTCATGGTAAGTATATTGCGGTGAGTGCCTCACACCCTGCAGGTGTTTATCCACACACCTGCAGTGTCCTGTTGGGACTGGTCATTGAGGCATGACCATTTTACAGTACTACTTATATCTAATTACAGTAATATGATGTAATATGCCCCTTAATTTCATGCCCCAGTGGCAGATGTTCTCGTAGTTATTTGTGGCGACATGTGGCGACCACACGCTGCCAAATATGTGGCTTCCACCGTCAGAATGCTCCTATGGGCTGTGCTGCAGCTTTGCGATTACAGTGTATATATATATAAACATATATATATATATTTATATACGTATACAGTATTATACAGTATATGCAAAGCACTATATAACTACCTAGGGAAACAAGATACCAAGAAAACGTGGTACATTAGAAAAAATGCGATCTTTTTTAGGAACAATGTTTTCCAAAATGTGTGTTTTGGATCTGACAGCACACACCTGAATTTCGGACACAAGTCGCCAAATGTCAACCTCACCAAGAACACTTTTCACCCAGATCGAGAGTGAGCATTCAACATGCAGCTCCGAGCCTAAGAACTCACAAATGGCATCTTGTTGTCAGGGATGCAAAAAAATGCAAAAAAGGCAATATTTTTAGTACGGGTTAGTATGGGTTAGTACGGGTTCCGTATGGGTATGGGTTAGTACGGGTTAAGTACGGGCTCCGTACGGGATAAATACGGTGCTGTATGCTTTTAGCCAAGTCGCCCTCCAAATTCACATAAAGGCTATTTAAATGACCAAACAGATGGAAGAATCGGAAGAATGCTCGACATTTGGTGACTTGCGGATCCATTAAGGTCCCACGGCACTCACCTGAAAGCAAGATCCGGGAGACAGGTGTTTGTTTGTGGTAGCCGGGACTGTTCTTCAATGGTTTTACCAAAAGACGATCTTTTTCGAGAAAAGACAGTAGTTTCCTTTGTGTCTAGGAAGGACAATGTTTCATCCAGGAGCCTACAAATTGTTAGTGTTTTGCTTCTCTAGTATATATAGTTATTGGCTTAGATGCCGGCGGGCATATATATATATATAGTTATATATGTTATGACATTGGGTCGAGTGTATGCACTCAAAGTGAGTGTGTGGAAAGCATTTTGCACCCTGCCTGCCAGGTTGGTTCCTGGAACATGCGGACCCCCTGCTGAAGGTGTCGATTCAGCCCAGATCCAGCGGCGCGTTGGGCTTTGCACAGTATTTGCCTGCAGAGATGAGCCTCTACTCCAAGGTCGGGAACATGAGACGGAGATGGAAAAAAGACGAAAAAGGTCGAGTCAATCAGTCGTTCTTGCAACCGAACTTGGTACCAAACAGTCGTGGAATGTCACACGAAGTGTACAGAAATACTGTTTGTTGTCGCTAGCTGCCCCAGATCATGAGCATTTTACCCATGCGGCGATGTCCGTGGTTGCTTGTTGGATATACAGTAATATACGCTCGATTGCGTGTGGCCTTTCTCTCACCCTTACTCCGTGCTTGTGGCCATACGCACAAATGGCCGCAGCTTTGGAATCTACAACTTATTAAGAGCCTTCTTATACACACAGTTTCACTAGGACATGAACATATAACATGATAGTGTGTAAATTCATCTGAATCCCGCAGTTTTGGTTAACAACTTGCAACCAAGCAGTGTCGGAGCGCCGGCTTCTATTGTGCCCCTTGCAGCGTCATAGGAGGCCATCCTGGACAAGATTGCCTCTCAGCTGAAAGGTGATGAAAGGAGATGAGAGTAAGTGAGTGAGTAAGTGAGTGAGAGAGAGAGCGAGAGAAGAGACAGACAGACAGACAGAGAGAGAGAGAGAGAGAGAGATGTCCCCATGCAAGCCACTCCCATGCACTCATCGGGTCATCACGGTCAGCCAGTCCTTCATTGCTTCAACACCTGGCCAGGCAATGGACCTTTGGGGGGGGATTCAGATATCTCAAGAGCGCATTTTCGGGAGGACTGCAAGTCATCGCTAGTAGGTTGGAGGCCATTGCTATTGGGTTCCTTTTGCTATTACGTTGGAGTCCATCGCTAGGTTGATGGTTTGGTTGGCCTGGATGTAAAGGTGTTGACCTTCCTTCTGTGATGTAGCACCCACAGGGCTGCACGAGGCCGGGCCTCCGCGTCACCATTTTGGCGTGCATCTTGCACAACCTTCATAAATACGATAAATATATACATCTATATACAGCATGTTCCACCACCCTCTGGAATCATTTCAACACGTTTATCCATTCATCCCAGCGCTTGCGGCCTAGTAGAGGCCTAAAGACCTGATGACATCCTGGGTTTCAGCCGGACCGGTCGGCGCCGATCTGCGCAGCCGAGGCGGTGTCCCTCGGGGGCCGAGCCGCAGAGGAGCTCTTTGTGGGGAAGATTTCCACTGGAGCCTCGGACGACTTGGACAAGGCGCACGAGCTGGGAACAGAGGATGGCAGGGAGGTGATATAAATTACGGTGGAAATAGGGCTCCCAAGCTTGGTTGAACACGGAACATGATGAAACACGGTGAGAATTTACAAATAAAAAGCACTGACACAGCAAACAACTCAAGTTTCCAAATTAAGCATCGTGGATTTCACAACACCGGAGGCTCCCAATGTGCGCCTGTTGCAGGTGACGAAAATGGCACACGCTGCTTGGCCATGGTTCCTTCTCATCGGCGCGTGTGTCACCGGGTCACCGACTTCACGACGTTCACTGACCGAGACGGGCGACGACGACGGTCGCATGTGAACACAAGAGAGCTGGAGTCATGGAGACGTGCCATGTCCGGGCATGGAGTCAGCTCCATGTGAGATGATGAAACAGGTGAAGGAAAAACCTTGGGGGGGATCCACTAAGGCTAGACAGGCTGTACGGGGCTAAAGCGGCTAAACTCACGGGTACGGCCCCTTGTCCACTCTTGGGTGAGAACCAAAAAATCGTTTGTCCCATTCCATTGGATGAAACGCTAGCTGGTTGACCTGTCACACCTTCTGGAAATGGGCTCATCCGGCTCACCTGCTCTCAGAGAAGGCCAACCAAAAGTGCTGATCGGTCTGGGACCGGGGATAGGGAAAGACTGACACATCACCGGGTCCTCCTTCGAGGCCATGGTGGCCAACTACGGCATGTCTGACAAGATCGGTTTGCTGAACTTTGGACAGAATGACGCCAGCAACCAGTTCTACAAACCCTATAGCCGCTGGGCACCGCAACCGGAGCCAATTCCTCCAAGAAACATCAGCCTTCCAACTAACAACTTGCAGAACCTTGATGGTGGTGCAAAGAATCCCTTTCGCTGATATGTTTCAAGAGCAAGGGGAACTATGCATTCATATGTGAATACACGAATGTGTCATCACAATGAACTGAGTATGTGCTGGGCGGATGGCTAACTGCACCAAAATGACAACGGGCCCCACTTCTATGTGGCCACAGCATGCCACAGCGCAATCGCCACAGCAATGGTCTTGGATGTCCCGCGAGACGTGCCCAGTTGATGTGTTGGTCCAGGCGCACCGAGGACATCCCTGAAGAGTTCAGGTTTTTGCGTGGACTGGTTCGCTGAAGAAACAGGGTTTTCTCTGGTTTGCTAGGAGCTTCCGAGATGGGCTCTACGTAGTGAGCCGGTGACAGCATTTGAAGGCTGAAGACTTGTGGGTTCGCTCAATCAAGGCACCCTGCAGGTGCCTGCTTGATGTTTCAAACACGCCCGAGAAGAGACCCACATGGAACCTGAAACCACTGGCGCTGTAGAGGAAAATAGTCTTCCAACATTTCAGGTTCCATGTGATTTTCCCGGGTGTATTTGCTATGTATCTTTTATTTGAATTAGAAAATGTATCAAATAGTCAAAATGATTGTAAGATTTTTTTGGTAGGGCACCCAGGGGATCCATGTGGCTAGCGCCTCTTTATACCGGGAAACGCCACATGTGACCCAGCACACGTGGCGCCCCTTTTCGCTTGGCTTGTTCGCAGCGGCGCACCGCTGTGACCCAGGTGAGACCACAGGGCAACTCATCGACCAGGAAACACGGGAGGTCGTTGACCAGCAGTACGAACGAGTCAAGAAGCTGCTCCTCGAGCATGAGGCCACCAAGCGAAGCGGGCCGAGCATGAGATGCGACCCGTGCAGGTGAAAGACCCATCGACCCCCTATACCTAGCAGGGGGGTCAGCCATAGCCAGAAGCCCAACGGTCCATTTCTGTTCCAAGTTGCAAACACAGTGTCGCATGAGACTGACGGAGCACCCCAGTGATCGGTGATACAACGAAAAGGATATCCTCATGGTTTTGACTTCTGGAATGTCACCGTTTTATCCATTTTTGGAATGTTCTGCGGATCTTGCCAGAAGACTTCTTGCAAATGAGCCAGACACCTGAATTGCTTTCGTTGCTTGTTTTTGTGACGGCCCCTGATCTTCAAGAATTGGCTCAGTGGATGTCTCAGAATCGTGAGACTCCCGGAATCCAAGTCATTTATATTAATTAATTATTCATTTATTGCTTAAAACACGGTTTATAACATGGCTATGTTATTCAAAATTGCCCAAGGGCGGATGTTCATCAGTTTGCTTGTGTGACACCACATTGCCCAAGGGCACTGGTTTGTGATATAGATCTGAATTCTCTCAGGACAAGCTCAAAGCGCTCACTGGCCGATGCTGGGAGCGAAAGTTCGTCGAAACAGATCGTTCCGGGTGATGTTGAGGACTAAACGTGAAATGATGGAGAATGACATAGAATTACAGCCTTCAATCAGGCAACAAGGGGCAACCAACATGGGTGGGTTGTGCAGAGACACTCAGCTTTTGTTCACTTTGGCTGAGGACTAAACGACAAGGAGACCTTGGCCTACAACGAGTTAGTTGAGGTGCAACAGCAGAGCAGTCCTAGAGTAGCCATGATCGAGGAAGGTGGAGCCAGACGCTGGACGCCTCACGCAAAATGCAAGAATCTTATTGCATGCACGGTTTCAAGTTTGGCAATTTGTGAGTATACTGGAGGATCAAGACTTAACTTAACCCTGATGAATTAAATACAACTTCACAACATGTGCTGGTGCACACTCTTGGGCCATCTAAGACGTGCATTGTCGATCAATCTTCCAGCTTTTGAACCCAGCTTTGACCGACCTGAGTGCTCCGCCGTCAAGTCTCCCCGTCCTTCGACCGACTCACCAGGTGCTTGGAGAACGACCCTACGCCGTCAAGTCCCTTGGAGAACATCGTGAAAACCACTGGAGTGTTCTGCACATGTGACACAGGAGGTTTGATGTGAGGTTCGAAACTGAGCCGAGTGAATGCAGCAGTTCCTCCGATCTTCTTCAGCGAATGTTCCGCATTCGGGGAAGGTTCCTTGTTGTTCCACATCAATACTCGATCCTCTCCAGTATGCCCAGACGCAGAGCACGTTGAGTCTAGTGTTTTGTGACTTTGTTTTGATCAGCGTTCTGTGCACTAGGTACGCAACCAGATCAGGAATTAAAAATCAAGGAACATGACTGAAACAAGCATCTCAGGGCTTCTTTTTTTGTTTGTTGTCGTTTCTGTACCATAGTATATGTGCAAGGTCACGTGTTACCAGGGTCGCCGGGTTTTGGGAGTCGCTCCCCCCCGCGTTCAAATCGGTGGAAGGAGCCACACGGAGCCACCACGGTCGCGGCAGTGTGTTCTCACGCACCGCGCGTCCGCGGCCTCCGGAGGCCGCGGAGGCCGCGGAGCGTCCGGGTCGGTCGGCGTCGGGCTGAGGAAAGAGATCAGTGGATTTGTCACGGCTGGCAGCAATCCCTTTCTCCAGAAGGACACGTCCGAAGGATCCGAAGGAACAGAAGGCAGGATCCGAAGGAGGATGACCCCGGTGGGGTGGGGGAGGGTGAGGAGCAAGAATTACATCGATCAAGACATGCTTGCGATGGCTGTGGCTACATGATCTAATACACTTCTAGATCACCATAGTATAATGCCTAGAAGATCTTTGCGGCAAATGTTTTTGCCTCAGGTGCGTCTAAGAATTTCTAGGAAGACTGTATCCTGGCTTGGGGGAATGGAAGTGCTCTGAAGCGAGGACTTGCTCAGGACAGTGCTACGTGAAGGAAATCTAGCGGCATGTATTCCAGCCTGGCCACGGGACATAGAACCACATCTGATGTCAAGAATGGTTAGTCCTTGCCCCAAATCAAGAAACGCAGGTGAGTCTGGAGGCAATGCTGAGCCGAGACTGGAACCTGCGTAGCACAGGTGAGAGGCAAGGGCTGCCGTTGTGGTGGTTGTTTGCACCAAAGGAATGCTGGTGTGTTTGTGTGTGCGTGTGTCCAACCCCTGCTTCTAAGGGTTTTTTCCACACACACACACACAAGAAGCTTTAGTTCGCTGCCGTTCAAGCGATACTCCCTTCTTAAATGGAGCATGGGGACAGAGCTCTTTGATGCTACTCGGTCCCACGAAGCTATGCATCAGAGAGGAAAGCATCCACCGGCCGTGGATGTTTACCTTTCGCTTCACCCAGGTTAAACAATAGTCATATATAGTGTTCCCGGACTCTTCACTCACACCGTTTTTCCTTCGAAGTCGTGCTCGTCTATCATGATCGCTTTCTTCGAAATGTGTGTTTGCAGCATCGTCCCGCAGTGTTGTGCTGTGTGAACCCGGCAGTGAGCTTCAACTGATTTTCCGTGCTGTTTGATGCTTTCTGAATTCTTGGTTCAACCCTTGAGGATGCTGAATCTTAGATGAAGAGCTACTGGAACTCCCGCTGGGTTCTAGCAATGATACAGCTTCATGCAACTTCCCAATTTTAACCACTAAAGAGGTCACGTTTCTTCCTTCAGGTTGTGTTTCCCATTGATCTATTGTCCGTGCACTATCGGCATATCATGTTTTTGCTCCTGCTGTTTTTGTGTCATGTTTAAGCCTTTTCTTGTCGTTTTTTCTACAGGCGTTTTAGGTGTAATGCAGGTCAGCAGTCCCACACATTACCACACGCTGCAAACAAACCACGTCTTTCACCAATCTTTCTTTCACCCATACTACCATACACCGGGACTATACCCTATTGGACAACCGCTTGCTGGTTTGCCTGGGCCTTTCACAGTTCAGCTGGCAACCGCACCAGCAATCCGTGCTCGGCTTAAACAGCACAAAGGGCACTTTTTCGCTGGTATGGGCCACAATGTTGCTATGCGCTTCACGCGGCCCTGTAAATTCTGCACTTTCACCTTCGTGCAATATGCGCAGTGCTCCCAAAAAGAGCATCCGCCAAGGAAGCGCACTGCTTCACCGTTGCCGGTGCGGATGGAACTGAGCAGAAGTACTGTGAAAATCGTTCCAGGCAGGAACTGACAGGGCAGTTCTTTCCGAGAATGCAGCTTTGCAATGGGCCACATGCTCCAAACTGCAGCTATAACCCACTTTGCTGCGTTAATTCATCTCTTGCACCCAATTTTGGTACATGTTCTTCCTTTCGTTCTTTTTTTGAAATTGCTCTTTCTTCTCCTGCTACAGGCGTTTTAGGTATCATGCAGGTCGGCAGACAAGTGTTCCCACACACCACCACACATTGCCAACAAGCCACGTCCTTCTCTCATTCATACGCCGGGGTCGGGCCACCCTGTTGGAGAACTGCATGTCAGTGCCTGGGCCTTTCACTGCGCAGCTGGCAACCACACCAACCACCCTTGCGTTCGGCAAAAGGCCGCAGCATTCGACATAGCCTTCGACCAGTGATGCGACAGTGCCCACACAGCTTCGTACAATATCTGTTGCAGAGCGCCTCCCAAGAGGCCAACCAACGAAGCAGAGCCGTAATCTACCTGCCGTCGGTAATTATGGCTCGAACTTGAGCCCATGGACCCTGCAACAAAATGTGGCCGAGCCTATAAGCAGTGGACAATTGCTCCAGGCAGGAGTGGACGCTTTTCCCCGACATTGCAACACCTTATTACACCTGCCACCGTCGCAGTGTTGCCCACTTTGATTTGGATCTTGATTAAAGCTGATTAGCTTGCCACGCCCAGCTGTGAGGCACACAAATTGCTTGAGTCAAGAGCCGCCAAAGACTTTTGGTCGCCTATCACTTTGGGTTTTCACACGTTGTCGGGCTCCGCCATCTACTCATGTGGCCCGAGCGACTCGCGACCTTCCTTCGAGCATGTGAATGTACCGCCACTCCGGCTCGGAGGGGGGGGAACTCGGCTGAATTGCATGGGCGTTTCGCCCTCCGGTTTCGCCCTCCGTTTTCTTGTTTTTTTACATCTTCTTTTCGAGAGGTTTCTTAGGTATCACAAGTCCACGGTATGAGTCACGGTGCGGAACACGGCTTCCTGTGTGTGTCTGGCATCCTGTTTCTATGGCATTCTATGGGTTTTCACAAGCTTTAGTTTGTTGCCGTTGAAGCGATACTGTCAATGCAGCATGGGACTGCGCTCTTTGATGCTACTGTCCAACGAAGCTGTGCATCAGAGAGGGAATTATCCACTGCATGACCATGGACGTGTTCCTGGACTCTTCGCCACACCGTTTTTGCTTCGAAGTCTAACTGCAGTAACTGTAAAGGGCTAATGCGAAACTGATGAGCTTCGATTCGTGCTCTTGCAAATTTCTACTTGTAAGTGTGTATTCGCCGCATTGTCTTTCTCCAACTGCGCACGTGTTGGGTGCAACCTATGCCGGTGTCAGGGCCGCAGAATCCAGTGCCCAGCCCCGCTTCCGCCAGGGGTCAGACGATCTCTTTTTCAGCAAAGGCTCGACATGGAGGCTTGGATCACTAGAATCAGGCCTTTTCGACGAGAACCCATTTCAGAAGTTTTCTGAGCAATTCTCCACAGGAATAATATAGTGGTTCCTGGTTCGATCTATAGTATACTAGTATAGCTGCTATGCCTGTTTGAGAACCATGTTGGTTTCAGCATCTTCGGTCTTCAAACATATTCATTTTTTTGCATGTTATTTGTCTTCCTTTGCTGCTGCTGTCTCCGTTGCTTTTGCTGATGCTCTCCTTTTGTTTTCGCTGTTTCTGTGTTCTTCTTTTCTTCACTGCTGTTGTTGCTGTTCCTCGTGTCGCTCATACTGTGGATCTTCCTGCTGCCGCCGCTGCTGTTGCACTTGCTGTTGCTGGTGTGGTGGGAGCAGTGCTTTGAGAT